CAGGGCAGCAGAAAAAAAAGACGACAACGAGAGAAAGACAAAGTAAAACAAAAGGCTAGTTTCTCGTTGTTAGGAAGGAGAGAGGACGTGGGGAATGGTTTTAATTCAGCTAAAAATGGTCTCAAGAACGCAGCTGAATAAGCAAGTCATTTTATTTTTATTTTGAGGGGAAGTTTCCAGGCTAGTTCTACTGACATTGTTTCAAACCCACCTCTTTGGTCTTTCCCCCTCAAGCATCTTGTAGGGAAGACTGCAAACACAAGCTAATGACACCTCACGGAATGCACACACAGGAGACAAATAAAAACAGCCGTAGCTGGTAAGGAAGCAAGGTACAGGGAATTAAGACAGCTTGCTCTGAAGCATGAGAAGGGAAGAGAACCCAAGTCACGCAGTCCTAGCTTTAGCTCTTGGCTAGGTTTCCTCCTGTGGCTAGATCAGACAGACTGCGCGTCCCAGGAGATAAGTCAGAATAGCAGAAACGAGCAGTGCTGCAGGCAGTGCATCCAGCGGCCACAGCTACAGAGAGGGGCACTCAGTAATCAGTCAGTGATTCATCCCACGGAGAAAACCAACTTAGGAAGAGCCACAGTGACAAGATCAGCGCCCCACGGTCCATCTACTCCAGGATCCTGCCTCCTGACCCAATGAGGCATTTCTCATGTCTCCTGCTAGCTAGCACTAGGTATTTCAGAGAGCTCTTGCATCTTTTGTAGCTCCTGATATTCAGGAACTGGTTTATATCCTGAAAAAGGCAGGATCAAGGGGCACCTGACAACTGCTCACTCAGCAGTTAAAGACTGGTGACATGTAAACAAGGCTGCAGGGTAGAGCAGGAAAGCAGAAGAAGAAAAATTTATTCCAGGTGAGTTCACATGCTTCTTGCTCGGGAATAGCTACCTACCTCTTCTAAAAGGGTGGCAGGAAGCTACAGTAGAGATACAACAGGTTAAGACAGCCTCACGCTGCAAGTTAACTGAACCTGCAGCCTTGGCACACAGAACATCTTACAGCCCAAAGCTGCTGCTGCTGCTGGGACAGGCCACTGCGAACAGCCTGTGGCTATGCACGGAGGCCACTTTATCAGCAGTCTCTTCTAACTTATCACAAACTAAAGCAATGAACTCAGGCCTAGCAGAGTCACGCTTATTTTTATACAACGCTAGAAGAGACATGGCAGACAATGCACACACTTCTGAAGAACTCCAACTTAAAACAACTGACACAAGAATAGTAATTACCGTAGTTATAGGCTGGCTCCAAGTAAAAGTTTCAGTGTCCAGAACATGTACGTGGTCATTCCACCCTCTAGGAAGACCTGAATTCTTTAAAAATATTCAACAAGGAACAAGTTTTAATAAGCATTAATCAAATATTAGATTTAAAGTTTAAACAGAAATTATTTCAAGGTGGGAAAAGTTTGCTCACCCAAAAAGAGGTTTCATCAAATTCAAAAGTTCCCCGTTGTTTCCCTTCAGGAAAATAACCATAGCCTCCAAAAAATATTAGCCTGAAACAGAAAATGCATCAAGATCTATTAGGTATATAATATCACATTCATTGCTACAAATTACAGCTATGTAAAGGCTGTACTCAAACAGAAGACAGGAAAACCAGGGAAGCCCCTTTGGCTTCACTACTCCTAATATGTCTACAACGCAAGTTATCCAGATGTGGAGCCCTATCCCTTGCCTCAAGTACCCTGCCACCCACATTAAATCCCTCTGTAGCTCTTTCCCAGGCCTCAGGCTCCCAAGTTTTGCTCTGGTTCCAAGCGTGAAGCTACGGGGCCTGCTGCTTGGTTGCTGTGCTCAAACCGTCACTACTGGGGCTCCCATACAGCAGCTACTGGTGTTTGTTCCTGCAGTTTCCTGCCTCCACCCTTTCCGAGGCCTTTGCACATTTTCCCTGAGCCCAAAATATGGGTTGGGTTTACAGACACTGCTGTAAAAAGCAAAGGGAAAGCACATGGGGTGCGAGTGAAACACATACCACGTACAGCAGGCAGAGAATAGAGGGAAGTCACTCTGAACTGAGGTCCAAAAAGGAGACTGAAAGGAAAAGCTCAAGTGCCTGCTCTCTCTCAGTGGTTCGGTGCAGGCTCCTGCACTAAATCCATGTGCAAGTCCCTCTGCAACCAGCACCTGCACTGCCCCACACCAACGCTTGCCTGAAAGCACGGGCTTGTACAGTTTTCTGCTCTCCCTCTGCAGGGCTGATGCAGCCTGAAGACTGCCCAGCACCCAGAGCCGTCAGCGCTTCCCAAGACACTGATGACTCGAGAAATCAGCTGCTCGGGTGCAGCCCCGGACACGGTCACTGTGGAGATGTGCACTGCCTGTGTGGGACTGGCAGGACAGGGCATCAGGAGAGCAAGGCAAGCGACACTTCGGGCAGCAAACTCCCTACCACTGAAGCTGCCCAGGAAGAGTTTTATTTTTATTTTTTTGGTTAGGAAAGACTTTTTTCTTCACACTTTTTTGTTTTGTTTCAAAGCCTGAAGAGCAGTTACTGTGAGCAATCAGTTACTTATCTGATTTTACTACTCTTTTTGTCTCTTACAATGCAATTTACATTTACATTTTATGTTTGCGGTTCAGTGCTCATTAGAAATGAATGGCATGGTTTTGCCAGAAAGTTTTATTAAATTAGGAGGTAACAGGAAACCATCTACACCACCTAAGTGCAAGCTCACAACTCCAATCTAGCACAGATTTACACCTAAAATGGTTCTCAAGGGACAAACAAGAACAACAATAAAAAACCTCTCAGCCTTCCAACAACGACGCTACAAAATTCACCACACAGCAGGCATTGTAATAATGAGCTTTCTCTCCATGTTGAGAATCTACAAAGTAGCATCACAGGCACTTTCCAACCTTTCATGAGTCTGTACAGTGAATGCCGCAGAACGCGTAACGCACAAAGCACTGCGGGCATCTGTAGCCAGTTATACACCAAAATCACCATACATGACCCAGACACAAGCGTATCTGGCATCCCCGATTTCCTCTGCCTCAGGGGAGCCAGATTCGATATAACCAAGACCAGCTGTGTTAACAGGAAGCAGATGCCTGTGCTGTCCAGGTAAGGCTTTGCAAGTAATGCTTGAAAAATTCCCTAACGTAACAGTAAGAACACGTAACCTTGCCAGTTTTGACCAAAGCCAGGAACCCTCCGAGAAGCCAGCGCTAGGCAGACACCCCAAGAACAGAGCTAAAAGCCCCTGCCTTCCCCTGAGATAATTCACTCCCACACCCCACCTCCTGAACAGCTGGGACAGCAAGCGTGTGGAAGTGGGAAACTACCTACAACAAGGGCTTTCCTCAGTCTATCCTACAGTGCCAAAGGCTGGGACAAGCTCATCACGCAGCTCACTCTCGAAGAGACTAGCACTACCCTAGCTGAACACGGGGGCAAGGCAGCAGCAATATTTTGCACATCAGCTCTTCCAGCTTTAACACCTTATCTCAATCCTCCTCATCTTTTCCAAGGTTTGAAATGCCAAAAGGCCTTCTGGCATGTCTTGGACACGATCCCAACATATTAAATCGGATAACATCAACAGCAGTTCATCTAACACATTCCTTGTTTTGTGTAACCAGCACAAACATCTTGAACTAAGCATGTCAAAAAGGCACACGCAATTTTAAATTAAAACAGCTTCCCATTCTTGACCTATCAAAGAAACGCAAGCTGTCCCACAAGACATGACCAAAAGATTGTATTTTGCAAGGTACCGGGAATTCCAGAATAGGCTTATATGAAGATTAATTCCAGATGCAATTGCTAAGAGGAATGACGCTGATACAAGTAACCAGGATGCAGTATCTTTAAAGTAATGCCCTGAGAATGTGGAGCATTTGCCTTTAATGAGCCTGTATTTTGGACTGTGACTCACATGGATATTTTGCAGCTTATACGTAAACAAATTAGGAGGGAGGTTTTTCATTTAAGGAAGGTTAAAGGACTGAACAGTTTTAAAAGGCTAGCTGGGGAACAAATCCAGCATTTTCCTGAAGCACGTATGCGCTGCAGTCAAAAAGTCCTTTGGCAGTTTTTATTCAAACAAAAAGACACAACAGTGACGAGACTAAGAGTGATTAAAAGCAAACACGCGCAAGGATAGCTGTGCTGACTTCATTGCTGGAGCCTTACTTGTTTTTGTAAACCCAAACGCCAAGTTTGTCCTTTGATGAAGGGGGGACCCCCTGACATTCTACTCTGACCCACTGCAGCACTTTGTCCGTGGATCTGGAATTTAACATGTAGAACTGTAGAAAATAAAAAGATTTTTTTACCCACACAGTTAGCTTAAAGCTTAAGTCTGATTGATGTTAATGTATTAACTTTTAACTAGCATGTATCAGCACAGAAGTACTTTAAAAGCTCTTTTCCTAACTACACAGAGCACTGGCAACGTTTTGTACAAAACATGGAGCCAAAGATCCTTATCGTTTTGCAGATTCAAGCCCAAAATACCCTTTTATAAAAGCAAGAGAACTACGGACACTGAGTTTTACCGTCTGGAAGCTGAAATGGGATAAAATGAAGGTGTGTACAAAGTAGCAACTTCCTTACAATAAAAAAATCTGGTCAAGAAAAAACTTTTTTTTTTTATGGTAGCAACCCTTCTTTGCACATTACATCATTTTACATAGAGAGAAATAGCTGGTACAGATATATAAAGTAACTGAAATGTAGCAGTATCACTCACAGGAAGAAAGGAAGTCACACACTATAAATTCAGTTTGTTTCAGACTGTGTGCAAGCATTGCCCCAGGTTACTTTCAGTTTATATTTAAAAGCAAGGCCAACATTATTTAATTTAAATCACAATTTCAGAACATGGTAAAATACCATCAGAAACTCCAGAAAAGAGTAACGTTTCAAATAACCACAGAGCAGTTTCAAATCACCTCCTGATCTTATTTCAGTGACCTCCAGAAACTCTTAGCTTTCAAAAAAAGTAAACCCAAAAGCACCAAAGCAATACAACTTACAGGATGAACTGCTCTAGAACTGCGGCCAGAACAATAACAGGCCGTGGTGCTTTTTCAGCGATGTAAAGCTACCAGAGTACAATCATCATGTGAAACGATGCAGAGCTGAAGGTTTACACGTTTTCCAAACTTCACATGATCTGACCTGTTGCCCTGAACTGGTATAAGTTAGCCAGCTGATCACCTGCACGAAAACAATGCAAGTGGCAAACACTATATTTTGTTAGTTAAAACCTCTTTGGCAAGCACAAAAAGAACACGGCTTCAATTAGTTCAGATCTGGGGAAGCTGCTGAGAGGATGAGAGAGCTGGTTATCTGCTTCCAAGAAATACAGATATAGCCAGCAGATGAAAGTATTACGTTGCAGAAGCCACAGAGGACACAGTGACTGGATATGTGTTCAGCATCCCCCATTATTAACATTTAAGCTCTGAAACGAGATCCAACCTGTCCTGCCATTCAGAAGAAAATGCTTTTGTGATCTGTTAAGATGATACATTTGCTCTGGATGGATTTTAATGAACTGAAAAGTCCGTCTCTGTTTTACAAAATGGAATCAAAAGCTAATGAGGAGAAACTTCTTTGTGAAGAAGGATTTATCTTTAAATTACTGACCTTGTTTGTATTGCCACGTGCGTGATGTCCTCCAAATAGGTACACAACTCTGTCTACACACACCGCACAGCTTCCAGACATGGAAGGTGGAACATCTCCCTCTGTTTTACTTTTCTTCCTAGAAGCAGAGTTCAAAATAGTTTATCTGATAAAAATGGACAACAATGATTTTGTCTGGAAGTTTTTAACGTTACTTGTATGTTTTTAATTAAGGCAAGTCTTTGAGGACCATTCAGTTATGAGTTTCTGATGCCCTTGTAGACGCAAGCACATATTACAGGGGGAGGTGGGGAAAAGGTAATTTTAATTAATACACTTTTCATGGGGGAGAAGTCCTGTCTGCCCAGTTCAGGAGTTTGATATGCCTTTCACATTCGTGAAAATTCCAGAAAGATCCCCAGGCAAAGAAAAGATGCACCTGTGTAAGCGGAAGGTTTTTATTTTGCTACGTATTTCAATAAGTCTTACAACCACAGAGAGGAGCTTCCATTCCACGTTCGAGGCCCTCCTCAGCCACAACGACAACTGCAAACCAGTGCTGAAATTGCACTTACTTTAAAGAGCTGAGGGGACTAGGCTTTGCCATGCAAGGTCCTACCTATCTACAGAATTGCAGCATTACGGTCCCTTGTCTTGCACTATCACGTACACAGGTTTCACACAACTTCCAGGTTCCTAGTGGTCTAGGAGACCACAGTAGTTTCCTCAGCTGTATAAACGTTTAAAAACAACTGCTTACAAGGAAAATAAACAAAAAATTCCATGTCGCTTCTCTCATTCATTTACCGCTGCACTCACAAGTGGTACAAATGCACTTTACAGAAACTATATCCTGTACCAGGCATCCCAAAACGCTTCATATCGGTGGCTGTGTGATCAACAACTCCTGTGATTCCTGCATGGGCCGTCTAAGTTGCCTCTCCTACTTCACCCACCTCATCCCTGTGAAAAATATATTCATAGTTTTTACAAGAAAAAGAAAGCTTTAGAAATGTTTTACACCTTTAAGCAACACTTTGTTAGGTGGGAACACAGAGATCAGACACGTCTCTAGAGACGACCACCATCCTGGACGCAGACCCTCAGTGTGCTTTCTGTATCAAATTGAGAATTTCCTCATTTTTTCCATAAAATGAAAATTAGTAAGTTAATTGTTTACTGTACCATCTTCCAGTTTCCATGTTGTAGATCCATATCTCATCTCTAGGTAGATAGAAGTCATAAAACCCCCTAACTTGGGCGTTCTGCAGAACAGTACAGAAAAGGCAGCGTTAGAAGGACACTTGACATACGCAGCTGCAAGTTCCTGTGAATTTTCACACCCCCTCAGAGATCTAACTGTGAAAAAGAAAACAGCAGGAGCAGTGCCTGCTGCACTTCTGTATCTCTCACCTGCAGAACAGCCCTTCGAGAGCAGCTATCAGCCTCATTAGCTTCTGCTGGAGACCAGACAAGCTTCCAACAGAGCCAGAGACTGGCATCTACGAAAGGCAGTTAAACCTTCCTTTCATACCCCAAGCAGGATATCCAGGGTAAATAAATGAGCCACAATTTTCTTTTCAACTCCCCTACCCTCTGCACGACACTAGCAGAACAATACACCAAAGTTTTACTTTCAGCTACCGATTTATCTACTGAGTTCACTGTCAAATAAAAAGTTCATCTTCATTGTTAAAATTCAAAATGGCTTGGTTCTGCTTGCAGTGCATGATAAACACCCAACCCACAGTCACTGACATACAAAATACAGTTGTGCTAACAATGCTGTAAATAAAAGTGCGATTTTGCATAGTCTGCATCTCAAATCACAGAGTATTTCCTTCTCTTCTAACAGGAACATCAGCTCGTTGAGAAAGGCAAACAACACCTTGCACCCCACAAAGTTATCTGCTTGCCAAGATCTGTATTAACACTCACGATTATTTCATCATTTCAAAACTCTTAAACGTCACATTCTAATTCATTAACTGGAATTTTTTGTTTGTTTGTTTGTTTTTCAGGGCAGAGATAACTTTACAGACTCACTTCCAAACTACTGGGACATGTTCCCAGCACCATGGGCAGCAGAAGGCTTACTTAGCAGGGACAGAAACAGCATACCTTATAGCCTCCCCAGACGTACATGCAGCGTCCATCAGTGACTGCCACGTGCCCGCTACGCTCAGCGGGGCTATCGTTCTCCAGTTGTTCAAAGTTGTCCTCAGCTGGAGCTGGGAGCTCTTCATCTGCCTGCAGGTCTTCGTTATCATCAGCCATTTCGATACAGCACTACGTGCACAGAATAACATATAGTATGGAGCTTTGAAAGCCAGCAGGGGAAACCACCAGAGGGGGGGGAAAAAAAAACCCTATACGCTGTTGCTTCTTTCGTAATGACGTTTCAGTGGAAGAAGTCATGCCATGACTCAAGAAACTTTCAGATAGGGATTCCTGAGTTGTGTATAATTTACAATGGTTTCAGTTGCCAATTTTAGCAGATATCTCCTTTTGTGGTTTTTGGTGGTTTTCTTTTCTTTTCTTTTCTTTTTTTTTTTAAACACTTAGCTATGAATTTATGAACAAAAAAGCTCTGCACAGAGGTAACAACACACAATGGAGTAAATTTAAAGGCTTTGTCTATGCTGTGGTTTTCACAAAAGTCTTCACTCCTGCAACCTTTCAGGCAAAGTCCCTAAGTCAAGTCTCCCACACATAAACTGTCCCAAAACCAGCCACTCTGGAACAACGTTACCTCAAGTGAAATAGAAAGCAAAGCCAGCCACTTGCACCAAATCACACTGGCACAGAGGAGGCCGAAATCTAACGCACCCTGGAAAGAAGGATGTGCGCCCAGGGGTACGTAAGTGCAACTTCCCCGCCAGCGCTTTGCTACGTGAGCAGCCACCAGGCCATGCCGTGACAGGGGTCACTGGTAATTCAAAGCCCCAGTCGTGGGAGGAACCAAGCCAGGAGGAGAGGCTGAAGTCAGCCCTGCCAGGTCATCCTGGAAGCTGTCTGTACGCTCTGCCTCAGCCTGTAAGGGAGCAGGGGAACCCCTGGAAAGCCAACCGTTACTTTCCACTTGTGAGCCACACTCCAGGTTCCCTTCTGCTCCCAGTTTTTGTAAGCACACGGCTTAAGGCTGTCACCATACAAAGATTTTCATACCCAGATCAAAAGGTCAGGAAAGCTGGACAGCCCAAGCCAGAGTTTTGTGCAACTAGGCAAAGAAACAGAACAGAAAAGGACCTCAATGAGACTCCCAAACCCTGCACTCCAACGAGATTAAGAACATCTAGGCAATTCCTGACAGATTTTCACTTAGTTTTTCTTTGAAGCTCCAGCGAAGGAGACACCACACCGCTCTGGACAGTTTATTCTTCCTTTGAAAGTTTTTCTCATGCCTCAGTGAAATCTGTTTTACTATAAACTAAGTAGATTTTTACTGTCCTCTCCCCAATCATTTTTCTTTATTTTTTTACAACACTCTACCACATACTGGACAACTCCTGCCTTCCCCCTTTGCCTTTTTTATTCCTGTACTAAAGTGCTTCTGTCCTCCCAAGTCACTGCAAGTCTCAAGCCCTTCGTGACTCCCTCCACGTTGTCCATACCCTTCACGATGCCCAGACACAGCAGGAGCAGCCTCCTCAGCCTTGAGGAAGATCGGATAAACGACCTCTCCTGCCACGCTTACACCACGCGACGCGATTTTAGCCCCAACGGCGCAGTGCTGGAGCAACCCCCCACCACAGCACGTATCAGAGCCGTTAACTCCCCCCCTTCCCCGGCCCTTCTTGTTTTCCGCACGGGTCTGAAGTTCACCCCCACCCCCCCGCGCCCCAAAGGCGTATCCTCGCCCTCGGGCCTGCTTTATCCCCCGCACTCCTCGCCCCAAGCCCCGCGCGTC